GAACCTAAAGATGAAGAAGCCAACTCATAGGTCACAGGTTTTAGGTCATGGTTACGTGCTTGATAGTGAGCAACCCAAAGTAAGAGGAAGCACTCAAGATAAGTAACTATAATTAAAAAAAGAGCTCACTGAGTTTGTAGGTCACAAGCCATAGCTCACAAGCATGAAAAGAACATAGCCCACAACCATGCATTACTTTGACACTCAAGTTGTTAACTTAGTGGTTGAGCTTAGCAAAAATTCAAGTTTTGGTCCATGTAACATCCCGAATCCCACATCAGTGGGGAATTCTAAGTTAAGTTTGGTATATAAGTGTGGAAACCAACCACTACAAACTAACGACTTGAGCTTAAGCTTTTGAGGGCTTATGGACTTTGGCTTGAATGGTTGTTAGGCTAGTGGCGTGCTTCATCCTGGGCCATTTTAGTTGGAAATAGGTTATTTAGGCTAGCCTAATTAGCATGTTTAAAGCCTTTTACAATGAAAAGCTCTTTTAAATAAATTTTATTAGAAAGGGGGAGGAATGAAAAAAGTATGTTATCAAAGTTGAAGGAATAAGGGTGTGAATAATTAGAGTTGTGTTGATCCACCACCCTAAGACCTTGTCAATAGATGATTAGGGTTGGGAAAGATCCAAATCTTCATTTGGTAAGCCTTTATATTGAAGTTGTGTTGATCTGCTACCTTAAAACCTCATCGATAGATAAGTAGGGTCAAGCAAGATCCAAAGCCTCATTTGGTGAGCTTTTACATAGTTGTGTTGATCTGTTACCCTAAGTCTTTGTCAATAGATGATAAGTAGGGTAGGGTGAGATCAAAATCTTCATTTGGTAAGCCATTACGTCAAAGTTGTGTTTGTTACCTTAAGACGTCATCAATAGATGAGCAAGACTGAGCAAGATCCAAACATTCTTTTGGTGCATTCCAATAGACAATCAAGTAAGAACCATGCATTGTGAGCTTCAAGAAAGAAATTAACTTAGTCCAAACTAAAACTTTCAATTGGATCAAAGGTAATTCCACCTCTGCTAAGTTTAGTTTTGTGGATTTGTGTCAATTCCTAGCCTACTGTGCAGTGGATTTCTAAAACCTTATTGGTGGTTTTTTTGTAATGTATGAGTGAGTACCACTTGTACCCTTTTTAATAATAAAATTTTTTGATTCATCAAAAAAAAAAAAAAAAAGAAAAGAAGAAGAAGAAGAAAGAAATTGAGCAAGAACCATGCATTGTGATCTCTAATAGAGAAATCAAACTAAGACCCTAAATGAGTGGGCTTCAATAAAGAACTCAAGTTGAAACCTTGAATGGGTGTCTTTAGAGAAATTAAGCTAAGGCCGTAATGAAATTGAACAAGAATCATGTGTGGTGAGCTTTAACATATAACCTAAATTTGAGCAAGATCCATAAATGGTGAGCTCCTTTAGATTTCAAGTAAGACCCTTAATTCTGAATTGGCATTATCAAGACTTTTTGAAAGAAGTAGATATATATATATATATATATATATAAGCATAAGCAACAAAAACACCCTTTATATATTTCACTTGGCATGTTTTTGACATTTGCTTTATTATTTCAATCATTTATTTTAACAGCTTCCATTGTAGCATTGTTCATTTTGATGATAAGTCATATTTCTGCTTATCCAACTAACATTTATATTTAATTCTAAGTTGCTATTTTACTTAAATGCTAATGCATTTCATATATTACTGATTATTAGTGAACTAATGGTTTCTTATCAAGTTCTACGTTTCGAATGAATTCTTACATGTCTCAAGAGCTTGTTAACTTCCCTTCAACCTAGAAGACTCAAAGATAACTTCCCTTCAGCCTAAAAGACCCAAAGATAATTATTAGCTTTTGAGCCCATCAATTCACTAGAAAATATTATTGGCTTTTGAACCCATCAATTCACTCGAAAACATTATTAACCTTTGAGCCCATTAGCTATTGGTATTTCAACCCATCTGCTCAATAAGAGCTTGAGCCCATTAGGTAACTATAAAACGTTGTTGGCTTTAAAGCCCATCAATTATTGGCTTTTCAACCCCTTTATTCTATGAAAGCTCAATTTGATTTTATCTCTACAAAGCACAACCTTTAGTGATTTTATTTCTATATTATGATCTACAAGGTTGGAATTTTTCAAGTCAGCGTGTTTAACGTCCAAGTCAAGACCATTAGCTCTACAATAGCTCAATATGATATTAACTTTACAAACCACAACATTTAGGATCTGATTCCTATATTATGACTTGAGAGATCAAGATTTTTCATGTATTATCATCTCTAAAGTGGGATTTTTAGGTAGATATCCCCAACTTCCAAACTGGCATTTAATGTATTACCTTTATGAGAACTCATTTTGATCTTAGCCTTGTGGAGTGTGACTTTCAAAGGATTGGTTTCTATATTATGACCTATGAGGTGTGAATTTTCTAAGTCATGGCTCTTAGGTTAGCAAGCTCCAAGTTGGCATTCTTTGTTAAGCCCCATGACATCAAGTTCATGCATGGAGACTTGAGAAGTTGTTACTCCTAAGTCAGGATCATCTAGATTGACACTCCCATTTCCAACTTGTTGTTCTCAAGTTCCAAGTTTGAGGTCGAAGGTTTTAGGTCAAGGTTATTCAAGTCAAGTTCCTCAAGAATAAGTTGGACCTCTCTATTGATGGGAATCAAAATGATAGCATGAGTATGACATCAAGTGATCTGTTGGATATTCAAGGAGATCTAATAACTAGAGTTAGAGTTAAGAAAATGCAAGAAGTTATAAATGGGCTTATCAAGGAGATTTGGGCTAAAAACAACACATAGCAAGTGAATTGAAACTTGGAGGATTGTCATAGTTTAATAAACATTATTCAAGTCTAAGAACAGTTTGTTTAAAGTTATTTTGGCCAAATTACATAGTTTAGATCAAAATCACTCAATTCACCTCTAAATGCACAATTTTGTTGCCATTTGCCACAAATTGATATTTTACACTATTTTAAGATGTTTTACATAATTTTTGAGTTATTTTCAATTATTTTTACACTTTTTTTAGTTATTTGAGCTGAACAATTTTTTAATTAAAGTCTAATTCATGTTTTATTAGGGATAGCACATAATCATACCTATTTTAGGAGTAACACAATTCCAATCCTTCTTTTAATAGGATTTAAGCATAGATAGTTTTCTATTTTGATTTAGACTAATTTAGTTATTTAAAGGCTTGTAACACTACTTGAGGGATAATTATTAATTTAAAGATCATTTGAGTGACTTTTCTCTTGGTTCATTTGTGAACTTATATAACTTATCAAGATGATTCTTGTGACATTCTAATTTGACTTGTCACTCTTGTTCTTAATTGTTCTTGAGTGTGGCATCAAAAATCTTTCCTTATTCCTCTAGTTTGTGTTTTGATATAAACACTGGATCAAGATTCATTTTTGATAAATCTAATTTGGCTTTTCTTAGGGTTTGAATTTCCTTATTGTGCGCGTGGATCTCATTGTGTTTTTTGGCGTTCACATCATGTATAATCTATTGAAGCAAGAAGCTAAACCTTATGATTTTCTTGACAAGCTTACAATTCATTGGAGGGGGAGTAGTGTACTAGTGTTGGTATAGTAATCTAAGTAGTTCATTAACATAATAATGGCTCATGAGGCCCCAATAGAAAGAAACACATGCATTAGCTATGGCTTAATTCAATAATTAGTCTATTGACTATTAGTTTAATTTCATTTTAATCTTAAAAGTTTATTTTCTTTCTAAATTATCTATAAATTTTGGAGAATATTTCAAAATAGTTTACCATACAAAATTTTGTTAGTTTTAACCAAAAAGTTAACTTAGAGTTAAAATATAGTAGTTCTTTAAGTTTTAGGGAAGTGACACTATAATCCCAAAAACATATTATAACTTAAGGAATACTTTATAGAGATAAATTAGTTAGAATTTGTATTGAACTTAAGCAACTAGCTCAATTTGAAGAGAGAAACTTAGCAAGCTTAAGATGAAAAACTTCAAGTGTAAGTCTTGAAGATACAATAAAAGTTCAAACTCTTAACTACCAAAAAAGGATAAAAAGAGAAAGAATAAATACACTAATAAATATTATTAAGATACTTCTCCCAACTTGAATAATGGACAAATAAACCGAATTAACATGTATTTACTCAATACATAAGGTAAAAACATAATCGATATAGAAGATATAATTATCATTGATAAAATTCTAAAAATAGAAACCATTAATAAAAATACTAGAAGAAAAATTAAAAAAATAGGAAAATCCCTTTTTCAAGAATTTGAATCTATTAAAGAAAGAATTAATGATGTTAAAAATTCTAGAGATAAGAGATAAAAAAAAAAAAAAAAAGGTCTATCAAAGACTCAAAAACTTTGATATCTCGAGTTAGAGATATAGAAATCAAAATAGAAGAAGTTCTTAAGCTATTAAAAGCAATCGCTAAAAAATTTGCCATAAAAGTTAAGATGTATAATAGAATAATCTTCCAACTAGGAAGTGATATAGATAAAAATTTCTATAAGATCCAAACTCAACTTAAGAATTTACAAGATACTATAATATCAATTTGTACTAAACAAAATATTATAAATAAAAATGAAAGATTTAAAATAATCTCAAAGATTTTAGCAAAAAAAACCTAAATTGAAAAGAATAACATTTTTTATGTTAAAAACTCATAAAGAAAAATTGAAAGAATTAGAACAACAATTCTTAGATGAAAAAGATGTTGAAGAATTAGACAATCTATGCAAACAAATTATGATAACTACTAAACAACTAGAAAATATGAAAATAAATACTCAAAGAGAAGGAAAGGATGAAATTGAAGAAGAAAGTGATGAAGAAAAA